CTATCTGCTCTTGCTTTGACTACTTGGACTTCAGTGTGATTTTGCAATCTGGATTTCTGTGCTTCCTCCATATTCATTTTCCTTGCATCAATCAATAAATGTTCATAATTATCAATAACGAATTTTATTTTGTCGGTAGATTAGGTGTCCGTTGAGATCACCTATGGTCCGGGAGTTCACCTTAGTTAGTGAACTTCCCGGAAGTTGCAGTTCTGAGGTAAACGGTTCCGAACAGTCTGCCAAACAAAAGAAATTATTTCGGATAATTAGGAAAAGGAAAAACACTCGAATTTTCAAAAAACGTGAAATTTCGGGAATTTCAACCTAACAGAGTCCGATTTTCAGAAGGCCGAAGTCCGCATTCGGAAATTCAACAATTACTACAATTAGGGAAAAAGGAAAAAATTCACGAAAATTTCGGACTTCAACCCTAATTTTCCGCGATTTCGCGGAATTTCTGGTTTTACGGTTCCAAAAATGCGAATTTTCCCCCAATGTGGAAAACCGAAACTTTTATCGCAACCCTAATTCAATAGCGAATTAAAACAGAATACCGAATTAAAACAGAATACCGAATTAAAACAGAATACTGAATCAAAACAGAATACCGAATTAAAAAAAAATAGAATTTTGTAACTTGCATTTCGATAGTAATGCTGAACTAATTCGGGAAAGACAATGCTACTTAAGCAATTGATTCCCTAATCAGAATTACCTTGTGAGCAGATCCACTTGATTGGTCTGCTCCGATACCAAACTGTTGCATACTGGTGAATACTTTACCAGGTATGGGCAGAACCAAAGATCAACCAATATAGGATGAGCATGTATACAGCGGAAGTCTGAGAAATGGACTGACTCACATAGACTGAACTCACCCAGACCTCACTCAACACACAAGCAATCGTGAGATGGTGGGGTCTGAAGCCAAGCATAGACGATGCTTCAGGCCCCGTACAACCATACACAGATGAATGGTGGGAGGAAAGACGATGGAGGTGGAAGGTATAGGCACCGCCAGATGTCACCGAGCTAGAATCCAGAAGGTCGCCGATATGGTAGTCCAAAATGTCACCGAACAAATCAGAATGTGGTGGACCATAAATCACCAATGTCGGAGGTACAGAATCCTAATGTAACCGGTGTCCGATCTGTGATGCCGCCTGGTATCCAGCCCAACTATCTCCAATGTCTCGAACCCGGTAAGAGTACCGCAGCCTCCTACCACCGAAGTCCAATCACTGATCTCTGTCCAACTCGTATCAAGTCTCCAGTCTGAAGAAGAAGAAGAAGAGGAAGAAGAAGAAGAAGAAGAAGAAGAAGAAGAAGAAGAAGAAGAAGAAGAAGAAGTCCGAGAGGGGCAGAGGAGAGAAGGAGGTGGTGAGTCCGCCCAGGCTCCTACCTGCAGATGCAAGCTGGCGCCTTGGAACTGTTGAAGACCCGCAGCTTCAACCTGGAGCTATGGCGCTGCGCAGGTAAGCCGGTAAGTGTCCATCTGCCACCCCTAGCTGTCACTCAGCGCTAATCGGCGGTGCTGTGCTCGGAGCTGCGCTAAACCAAGATTAGCGCAGCGGTTCCTCAAACTGAAATGGCCGTTGGCTGGGCCTAAATACCGGCCGGCGGCCAGTTCGGCCTCTGCCTCCCACGGTGGCCTCCGATCTGAACCGTCGGATCTATCGTCCGATCCGTGGTTCAGGTCGGACCAGTTTTCGGGAAGCAGGCTGCCTAAATGGCGGCCTGGTCCAAACGAAACGTTTGGCCTTTTCCCGCCCAGGGCCTGCCGCTGCAGGGGCTGGTCTAGAACCGGTTGCCCAAGGCCAAAGGGGCGGCCTAAAAAGGTCCGACCTTTGGGCCGGCCTGGCCTGGATTATCGTGTCCAGGCCCTCGGAACCCCTCAGCCTAGTCGTAGGGCCTGAAAGGGCCCATGTGGAATGTAGTATGTAACAGAGAGAGAGATTTGCGGGGATTTGTGTCCTCGGCATGCCCGTAAGGGGCCCCGCTGCAAGCATCTGGCCCGCCCTAAGTGAAGGCGGGCCCCGAATCTCAAAGAGGCCTGAATATTTGCAAATTTGACAGTTACCACGTGCCAGGTGGTTGCATATGCCCTGCTCGCGAGCATCAGATTCTTCTGTGAGCCTTCTAGGCTCTTCCATTCTTGACTTGGAAGCTGGCCTCTTGGCCAATCCAGAAGCCGGGAACATCTCAGGGCAGCATGGGGTGGGTGGGGGCGCCTATCCAATTCGGTCCCAGGCCACTGTCTGAATAGGCCTGGGCACAGACACTTTCGCCCAACCTGAAGCTAAAGGGCACACACGAGTCCAGCTCCAGGCAGCAAAGAGCCAGGCTGAGGGGTTGGCATTCGGGCACTTGCTCTTCATGCGGCAGCGCTGCCAGTACGTGTGCTGAAGGCCGCTGGAAGAGAGTGTGTCTGGCGCACGCGGGCGCAGGTGGGAGAGAGGGCGCTGCTAGTAATTAGCGCCACAGCCCAGCCTCCATAGCCGGGCTTGGGCTGAAGGACAGGTCAGCGGAGTTAGGCAGTGGTCCTTGGTTGGAGGAGCGTGTGGAGGAACACAAGGGACAGTGAGAGAGAGCGACAGGGGGAGTGATGTGATAGCACGTACCTGGTCCTGGCAGAGGTCTGCATGGTCATGTGCTTTGGTTGCTGCTGCTGACGTCAACTGGTTGCTTTGTCATTTTGTTAGGCTAGCGAAGTAGCTGTATGATAGTAGTTTAAGCGCTGAGCGCCGATAGCAGGAAGAGCTTCGAGTACATTGTTGTTGGTGTCGAGAGAGGGCTCTCATTGACAATCGCTGCTTTGGTTCTCCTTCAGTGTGATTTCAGTGCATTTCTGCTTTTTGGACAGCTTACAAATATCTGGCATTCAATGTGATTTTGCAATCTGGAGTTCTGTCATTTCGCTATTGCTCATTTTCCTTGCAGATTCTTGGTTGTTGCTGAGTTGCGGCCATGGCTGGCAGACTGCACACAAGCAAACTTGTCGCATAAGACCTTGTTGAAGCAATTTGCAAAAAGTTCTCATATCATTCTCATGTGATGAAGTGTGCTGTTGGTGTGCTGTGAGATGTTGTGCAACGTGAATGAACCCACTTGAAAACGTCAAATGTCAAGCAGAGTAAATAACTAAATTCCCTCATCAGCATTCATACCATCTTCCCGTCATTATTTCTTACCCATACCAACATCCACCTTTGGAATTTTGGAGCAATAAAATACACTTGAAGTGTCTTAAACATTTGGAAGCCCTACACGGATACGCAACAAACCCCAAACCTCCCTCCGTATGCCTACACAACCCCATGGCTACCTGTGAATGCTAGGAAACTTGGCTCGCCTGGCTTGGAGAAACACTGGGTCTTCTTCCCACCCCATCTGGCTGAATGGTATACACATGTAACTTTTGGTCAACAGATCATCAGTTCGAATCCTGATGAAATCAGATGAATACAAGAATGTTAAAGGTTATCTCCCCCCACCCCCCCCTTCCCCCTCTGCCCCCAGTTCATGCTCTTGCAGTGGAATCAGATGATAATGGATTTGCATGAGCCTCATCGCCTTGCAGCGGTGTTAGTCCCTGGGCTCACCGCCGCTGTCATTTTGAGAAGACAGATCAGTAAGTTTGCCTTGTGCTGCATTACATGGCCCCCTCCCAATCCGCCTTAAACCACTAGTACCTCCGAGCCTCTTTTTGCCAGGCCTGAATTTCACTGCGCTCCGAGTTTTGCCGAGCCTGGGTCCCACTCCATTTTCTTTCGCATGTGTTACAATCCTCTGAAGAAACACAACTTGAGCAGATCACGGATTCTGCCCTGCCTCGTTGGCAGGGGACTACAAGAAAGACGAGAGAGAGAAAAAAGAAAACAACAACATTCAGAATGTGACCGTGTTAACTGTGAGATTCATTTTCTGAAGGAAGACTGTGAGCACGGCCTCCTAGACTACCCTGCCCGACATCATTGCAGTAGAGCATTTTCTTTTTTTCCCTTTTCCATTCACGCGCGGGCAATACAAAACTAAGATTTATGGGACTCACCGACCCTGGGTCCCACCCCCCAATTCTTCGGGAACGGGCGTTTTGACGTCATTTCCCAACACTGGCAGAGGTACTAGTGGTTTAAGTGATCCTCTTGGACAGGTTTCATAGAATGGCACAGAGCAGATTTCATTTCGGTGGTTTAGAACTTTGATCCCTTAAACCACCACCACGGACCCCCCTTGCCTAAGTTTGCAGCCGTTAAGACAGGGGCCGCGCTTTCGATGGATGGTGGGCCGCCACATGCCTCCGTGTCAACCAGCACTCCTGTGAAATCGAGTGAGCACACACTCCCTTCACAGACCCTCCCCTTCCCACCCACTGAAAAAAGGGTCATTTCTCAATCTGTACATGACATCCTCGCACAAGGGTCATGCTTCTCTTCTTTGTTATCATAACCCTTCTCAACAGATGGCCCCAAGGACTGGATGTCAAATGAAGCAGTAGAGGGAGAAGGTCTGATGCACGACATTGCCGAGTTGATACAATGTGGTTTAAGCTGCGAGATGTAATGCTCTCAGGCTCTAAGCTACATTATGTAATTGAGTTCTGAGTTTTCAAGTGTGCTGACCCCTGCAAGAGCTCTTCGCCTGCATACGGACGGCTAACTAGAGATCGATGTGTGCCTGACAAAATGCTTGTCAACTACAATGGTTGAACCCCTAAATCGAATCAGCACACGCTCCTAACAGGTCTTCGTGTTTTTAAATCTGGTTCTTCTGCGACCTCCTCCTAAAAGTGGCACGGCCAGGCCATGCCGTTGCTGCATTCTTGCTCAGAAATTGTGTACGTGCTTGTAGAAACAGTCAGGTTCTTGGTAACTTAGCATGAACATAGGACACAGTGGATCCTGGCCCTTATAGTCCAGGAAGAAAAGTCTATTTCTCAAACAGATACAGGAGATGTGTGGCAAAAGGGAAACAAAAGCTGTCCTGGCATCTGCAACTACCTCCAGCATTGCCGCAGTGCCGCTATTTGGATCAGCTGCTCCGAAAGTCCAGGCATCTCGGTGGTTACCAATAAGCACGTATCTGCACTCAACAACCCATAACACATGTACATCGAGCTAATTAGAAAATACTAAAAATAGTGTTAGAGCAATTAATGCTATCAATCAATGCCTCTATGGTTTGCTGTCTGTATTCACAACATTATTCCCATGGATGCTTGAGCAGCTGAGAACTTGCCCATGGTAAAAGGATTGGAATGATGCTCCCCAGAATAGAATGTGACCAACGCATACGAAAAGGTTTGCACAATCCCCACCCACACATCTCTTTGCAGTACTTAAAATAGATCTCTCCTGACAGCGCCAGGAACTGATACTTGAAAGATAACTGTACGGCCACCAAGTGGACAAGACTGGAGGCAACTTATTGTTCGGTAATGTTATTCAAATGAGATGCTCCACTCAGCAAAAACAGCAAGAAATGTGGGTTTGTCCACTCTGCCTGGCCCTTACAGATTCGGCTACACACCTGCTGCAGTGGCAATGAAAAAGAAAAGAAGTGGATGAAACACTAGTACCTCTGTCAGGCGGCACCTTGCCCTCTGGACACGAGAAGTCCAGTTAGGAAAAGAGCTGGATTAGGCTTGGCTTAGATTGGTGCTCTGCCGCGTGCTTCTTCTTCTTTTACCGCACACAGCAATAAAGCTATGCCATTTTCAGTTTTTCAACCGAGCAGAGAAGTAATGCTGAAGCTGAAAGGACGAAGTTCTTTCCAGTTGTTTCACAATGTGTTCTCTGGAAAGCAAATCCTCATGGGATGTGATATCATATTCAAATTTTTTCAATTCGTTCCTTTTTCTGACTTTCTGACATTGAGGGGCTAGTGTTCTAAGGATTGCACTGACCAGACCTCAGTCCAGTCCAGACGGCCTCCACAACTTCTCTTGGTACGTCTGAGTGGCACTTGTCGACGTCGCGAGTGGCGTCCTGTGGAGTGATGGAGGTGGCTCCTCTACCGAGGTCGTGGCTGTCGAGCCCTCCGGCTGGCGGCAGCTCCTCCTTCAATGCAACTTGGTGGCACCTTCGTGACGCTGGCGGTGGTCTCTGAGGTCTGGCGGCGTCTACATCTCCTCCGTGATGGCACTTGGAGGTGGGGCTCGAGGGTGGGGAGGTGGATGGGGAGGTGGCTACAACCCTAGAGTTGGTGCGATGGCGAGCCCGCTCGCCTACTTCGAAAATTCGAAGTTTGGCGGGCGAGGCGATGAGTGTGGTGGGCGGGAGCGGGAGGCGCAGGTGAGACCGCGCTGACGATTTCCCGTGGACGAGGCCCTCGTGGCCACGGCCTGCGCGATAGCGCTGGTAGTGGTGTGGTGCGTTAGACTGCGCTAACCGAACGGCGCAGGCGCTTTTTGCTCGATTTCCAATGCTTAGGTATCCTTTCCTGATTTTAGCTATTTCTTTTTTTAGTAGCCATTTTTCTTCGAAAGTTTTCTGGCTAGCCTTTCTTTTTCTGGGGTCTACTAGCCTTTCCTGTTTCTTTATTTCCTTTTTCCATTGTGCCCTAATTTCTGTCTCTGTGATTTCCTTTGTCTCCTTCCATTCTTCCTCATTCGTTGTCTTCTGGTTACCCAGCGTCCCCTTGCATCTTGATCTCCATATGACCCATAGTGCTGCTCTTCTCAATAGATCTGCTATGGTTCTTTCCTCTTCTTCTAGGTTTGCACTACTCTCTCTCCCGGAGAGGAGGTAGTCAGCTTGTAGCGGGAACTGGTTTGAGGAGATGTTGCCCCAAGCTGTCTTGACCTTGCCATAAAGTGTCTGCGTGGTGGCATTCGATCAGGCAGTGTATAAGTGATTCAACTTTGTTTTTGTCACACATTTTGCAGAGTGCCGACTGTTCTGTTTTGTGCTCGTCCTTCCTTCGTTTATCTAGCCACTCGTTGACCGGCACCGCCCAGTATAGTAGCAGCCATTGTAAGCTTCTGAATCTGGTGGGCCTGATGTTGCTATAGTAGTCCCAGGGAATTTGCGTATGCCATCCGTGCTCTTCCCCTAGATGTTTGATCCATCTTTTTTAGATGGTTGTGCGCGGATCGACTGTCTTGTTTTCTTATCTTGTACCCTGTCTTGACTGTATAGTCTTGTAAGCTAATTCACTTTCTAGCTCTGCCACCCCCCTGTTTAACATACCATCCCCATTCTGTTGGGTCTATTTCCAGTTCTCTGATGTCTTTATCTGGTCTGAAGACTATCCATTTTTTAAGGGTGTTTTCTCTTCCTGGGGGACTTGTTTTCCCTTTGAGCGTCCATGTTCTGACTTTTCTCATGTTTTTTTCTTTTTTCTTTTTTATACAAAACTGGACCTTATGGCCCAGGCTCCTTTTCCATTCTGGGGAGCATCAGTCCGGTTCCTACTCCACCAGCAAGTCAAAAAGATAATACATCATAATTACAGACACACGCTTCCTTCTGTACGGCCAAAGGACCCCTGACCAGCATTGATTGCTCCATCCCTATGGAGGATTGACTATCAGCTTGCCGTACTATACCCTTTCCTCTCAGGTCTGCCGCACTAACCTGCCGTATAGGGCCCGAATACCAAGAAAGGATCTAGCCACTTCCACAACCCCCACCCCTCAACATGCCCTGAACCCCCCTATTTTCTGACTAGGTAGATGCAACATTTCCCTTTTTCCTGAAACCCCTTAATGTCTACCAATCAGCCTCCACCCTGTCTCCATTGATTCAGTCCGGCCCTAACCTCAGCCATCTTGACCAGTTACCATCTACCTAAGACTACTGTCTTGAGCCGTTCTGACTGGCCAAACCCTTCAACCATGAGCCCCTGAGTCGTTACCCGAAGACTAAGATCCTTAAACCCTAAACCCTCCCCTATTCCTCCTAACGGCACCCCTTCCCTATTGTACCTCCACTGGTAAGATCCCAGGGTACTTTTTAAGTTCTCCCCTCCAACTGTAGAGCGTGTAAGGCCGTTTGACTTATCGATGATGATGGGAGCCATCTGTTCCGCCCTATCTCAGCATCTTAAACCCTTCCGATTGTGTGTCCGGTGTGGAACAGTTTTTGCCGTGCCGGGAACTGATCGAAGTCCCCTCCTCCCAGTCTCACCCTCTAGTTCCTTTGGCTTCCTCAGTGACTCACTCACCTGGCGCCCAATACCTGATGTGCCCCTTCATCACTTCAGTTCCCCTGCCCATCCAACGCTGGCATGAACTGGGCGCTCCGATCTGTTTCCGAGTTGTGCCAGTCTTTCCAGCACACTCTGTCATTCCGTAACTCAGCCACCTTACCATTTGCCAGCCATTGCCTGGTGAACTTCTTCCTGACCTTTTCTTGCTGCTCCTTTTTTCTTTTTTTTTTTTTTCTTTTTTTTTTTTTTTCATCAGAATCAGAACCTCAGGGTTCCGGCTCCTACCATTCTGGGGAGCGACAGTCCGGTTCCTATTCCCCCGGCAAGTCAATATGGAATACATAAAAAGACTCACGCACGCTCCTCCCCATTATGGCTGAGAGGTCCGAGTGGGCGGCATTGATTACTTCCATGAGGAAGGATGTACCCCCTCTCACCCCTGCCTAATCTAGCCTGTACTTGCTCTGCTTGCCAATCTGCCTGATCCCGGATCTGCTCCTCTCAGCTATAAAGCTGTCAGGTATCCATGATTATACAAGAGCATTCTGGAAGAATTATGCGCCTCTTGAAGCCTCTTTAGTTCTATAACAGCATTGGCATTGTTCCTGTCTAAGCCCTAGCCCCTAAACCCTAGGTCTCGATGCTGTCCTGGTTTATCGGTAACTGGACGTTCAGGTAGGAATTACCTCTCCTAAATCTGTCGCTATTTTCACTCGAGCATCAGTCCGGTTGCTTTTTGTATCTGCAACCCTTAAACCCTAAACCCTCTCTGTTTTCCGTCGAAATCCCATGTTGCTATTCCCCAAAAAGCCGTAGTTCTGGTATCAATTTCCATCAATCCCCTTATTTGTTCGTTACAGTTCGTGTAAATATAAGGTCAGCTCGGCAGTGTCTACAGTCCGGTTCCTATTCCACCGGCAAGTCGGAAGAATTACAATGAGTACTCAGTGCTACTCACTCTCTCTCCTCCCTCTTGTGGTGTGGAGGTCCGATGGCCGACATTGATTGCTTCCTCGCTGGGAGGATGTTCCGCTCGTCACCCCTGTGATGGTCGCCTTTTTCTAATTGGACTCTTTATTTATAATAATCTTTCCCTGTTCTTCTAGATCCTTTCGGTCTTTTTGACGGGGCTCTGTGTTTCCTTCTGCCTTGGGTGTGTTGGGTTTTTCGTGCTTGGTTTGTCCCTTCTTTCCTTCTTTTTTAGGACGCGTTCTTTGGTGGTTTTCCTAGGGGCTGTTGTTGTTTCCTCCTTGCTTTCTTATGGCCCTTCTTCCATATCATTTTCCTCCTTCCCTGAGCTGGCCGTGTCCTGGTGGTTGATGTCCCAATCGTTGAAGCTTAGGTGACGTTTTTTAATTTTAGCTATTTTCTTTTTTTGTAGCCATTTTCCTTCGAAGATTTTTTGGCTAGCCTTTCTTTTCCTGGGGTCTACTAGTCTTTCCTGTTTCTTTATTTCCTTTTTCCATTGTGCTCTTATTTCTGTCTCTGCGATTTCCTTTGTCTCCTTCCATTCCTCCTCTTCCGTTGTCTTCTGATTGCTCAGCGTCCCCTTGCATCTTGATCTCCATATGACCCACAATGCTGCTCTTCTCAGCAGGTGTGCTATGGTTCTTTCTTCTTCTTCTAGGTCTGCGTTTCTCTCTTTCCCCGATAGGAGGTACTCAGCTTGTAGCGGGAATTGGTTTGAGGATATGTTGGACCAAGCTGTCTTGACCGTTTTCCAAAGAGTGTCTGCATGGTGGCATTCGACCTTGTTTTGATTGCACATTTTGCAGAGTGCCGACTGTTCTGTTCTGTTATCGCTCTTCCTTCTCTTATCTAGCCATTCATTGACAGGAACCGCCCAATATAATATCAGCCATTGTAAGCTTCTGAATCTTGTGGGCTTGATGTTGCTATAGTAGTCCCAAGGGATTTGTGTAGGCCATCCA